CTGCTAGGTCGGCGACTGCATCTTCAGGGCTCGCCGCGGCAACCGGTGCGACTGTACCGGCACAGCCGGTGCAGGCGGCCCTCCCAAGCTCTGCGCCGTCTGCTGGCCCTGTCGATCTTGCGGCGCCTTCACAGCTCCCAGCCGATATCGCTGCACCGATAGGCTCGCCTGCATTGCTGCAGCAGGTGCAGCGGCCTCCAGGTACCGTCGTTGCGCTCGCGAGAGTGCAGGACGGTGGGACGCCCGATGCCGTGGCGGCGAGTACACCGGCCGTGGGTGCTGGAGCGGGAATAGGTGGGGAGCCGCCGGCGAAGAAGAGGAAGATGATGCCTGTGCACCAGGATGAGATAATTGACTTGACATAGCTGTCTTCTCGTGCTTTTGTCTGCGCTGCTTCTTCTTCTTCATGCCGTAGATTAACTAGCGTGTGGGGTTAATCTTGAGTTGATCAGGCCGTAAAGATGTGGGAAGGTGATCGTCGAACCCATGCCATGAGAGCGCAGGAGGAGCAGAAGGCGAGAAAGCTCGCGGGGACGAGATGGAGAAGGCTCAGGCGCGAGTGTTGCAGGAGAGAGTCCGAAGGGAGATTGAGGCTTGGATTGAGGACGCACTCAGGCAAGAGGAGGGGCGGGTGCAGTCAGTCATGTGACACTATTGACTTCTCAATTTGATGGAATTGATCCGGGCTATAACTCTGGCCAGACTCAAATTACCACCGTGTGCGGTCTCAGCCCCGTTTCTACGCTGGCAAGCTCGCGGCAACACGGCCGAGTCTACACCATGTGCATCTCCAACCAGGGGGGGGTAGAAACACACATCACCCATCGTGCGAATGCCCCCTGCGTATCCATGGTTTCTTCCTCTCTACGTTTCCTCGTCTGCCCGCCTCGCCATGTCTCGTACTCCCAAGCATACTCTCCACCTCTTGAGCACTCCCGCTTTCGTGGTCCCCACTCATGCCCTTACCAGAACAGAGAAAGCTAAACTCACATACGAACGTGCGAAGGAGTACGTCCGGGCATACCGTACGCATTCCCCCCTCTCGTCGAAGCTCTCCATGCTGACCTCTGGTCCCTCGCAGGCCTGAGCATGGATGATGTCCTAGCTCTTTCCCCCAAATTTTGGCAACTCCACCAGGACCCGCTCACAGCTCTGGACGGAGGTGCAGCGACCCTCGTCACCATTCAAGTCAACCTGACAGCCGGTACAATCGCAAGGCATGCGGCCCGCCGACCCGAGCTCGTCCCCCTCGTCGATGATCTCCTCAGCTACCGCAAGCAGTACGTGCGCCTTAGTGTGTGGCATCGCTTGTGCTGACATGCACTATCTGGCAGCGGACAATTCCTGATGACTGAAGTTGGACATGGTCTAGACATTGCTAATCTCGAGACCACCGCCACTCTCCTACCTTCTGGTGAATTTACCTTGAATACCCCCACGCCTGAGGCGGCCAAGTAAGATACCAATGCCTCAGATTTTTTGTTTCGTATCTAACGCATTGTCATCTCAGGTTCATGCCTCCTGCCATTCCTGCCGGCCTTCCGACCATTGCTGTCGTCTGGGCCAAGCTTATCGTACACGGCCAAGACCGTGGCATCCGCCCATTCGTTGTCCCTCTCAATGATGGAAGGCAGATGTGCACAGGCATCAAGTCTATGTACGTTCCACTGCCTCTACCTGAATATAACAGTCCTCAACCCCTCTTGTACAGCCTCCTCCCTGAGCGGGGTGGCCCCAACCCCGTGGACCACGCCATCACATCCTTCCACAACGTCCGCCTACCGTCCCAGTCGATTCTCGGGTCGATCGAGAAGGCTGTCTCGCCACGGCTCGCGTTGACACAGTCGATGTGGCGCGTCGTCTGTGGCACGATCGCCATCGGCTGCCTTGCGCTGCCGCTGATGAAGGGTTGTGTCACCATCGGGGCGATGTACTCTCTGCGCCGTCACGTCGGCGAGCCCAACAACCGCATCCCGATCATGCACTTCCGCACGCAGCAGATCCCGATCCTGACACTGACTGCGCAGATATACGTCATGGAGGCGTTTGTCGAGTGGTGCACCAACGTCTTCAGCGACATCACCGTAGACTACCGCGTCCGCCACGCTATCGCAGGCATCCTCAAGGCGACCATCGTCGGTCACATGAATGCGAGCGCCATCGCGATTGCAGACCGGTGCGGCGTCCAGGGGTTGTTCGCACACAATCAGATGACCACGATACATGTAAGTCGTCTGTGTTTGTCACCTGTCATTTCATGCGCCAACGTCGCATAGAACGACGCCCGGGGCATTGCCATCGCTGAAGGTGACATACTCGTGCTCTCTATCAGTACGTACACCAGCGAGCACCGAACGACCTGAACTGACCGTCTCCGGCCACAGAGCTCGCAACCGAGATGCTACAGGGCCGCTACAAGGTCCCGGCGGCGCGGGACCAGGAGGGCTTGCTCGCGCGTCACGAGGCGGGCCTCTTCGACGAGAGCCGTGCGGTACTCGCATCGTGCGCGCACCACCGCAGCAACGAAGTCAACAAGCTGGTCTTGCCACAGTGCCAGGCGATCATCGAGGCGATGGGCCACCGC